TCAAACATTACAGTAGACATATTTTGGTTTACAAACTGTATTGTTTCATCAGTTAGTCACGTTAGCACTCGGCTAATGTATCCACCATTAATGTTTTAAGTGTTCACAGTTTAGCAGCTAAACTTTAGCTGTGGGCACAATTCGCTTGCATAAGTGTTTCTGTATTTTATGTCATTATTATAAGAACGGACTGGAGCACTATATTATTGTTCTATGTAAAGGTGCTTTGTCAAATTGGTAGCGCTCGCTAACTTGCTCAAGGACTTCTCTCTGTGCCAATCACAACAGGCTTGGCCAGCTGACCAATCAGAGCAGAGTAGGCTTATGGAAGGGAGGGGTTTGCTCCGAACTTGCTTGGAACGAATCGTTTCGAAATCATTGGCAAATTACTCTAATATTAAATGTATATTCTGAGAAAATTACAATGTTTTCTGACCTTAGATTCATTTAAACCTGTTGTAGGGGACTCCGACAAAATATTAGGACACTTTAAAAAACCATATGACCTGCTCTTTAAGTAGTAGAAGTTATAAGCAGTAGTAAATACAATTTTTTATTGTTTTTGCAAACTAAGGGACTCTTGTCAATTGAGCTTAAATTGTTTGAACCCAGAACATATATTTAATCATTGCTGTCTGTATTATATTCATTATTGGTTTTTATTTTAAGATATAAACAGGCTGTTTTTGCTGTACCTTGACGTCTATATGTTAATGATCTCTGTCATGATTGGTTAACATCTTTTCATGTGAAATTAGTAAAAAATGTCCCTGGCAAGTTGTTTTAGAGATTAGCTTAGGTCTATACAGCCATTATGAAGCCAAACAGAGACTGAATCTTCAACAACAATAAAACGCTGAAGGTCAAACTGGCAAGCTTTGTCTGTAACATTACTGAGTTACATTTACACACACTCAACTTTGTTTTTCTATTATTGTATGGATTTAAGGTGTGAATCTTTAGGCTTTTTTAACTGAGTCCAAAGCATTTTTGCAAATGTTTTTGTTTGATTCAGAACATTTGATTCATTGTGATTAACAACAATGCAATTGTTTTAAATACATTTACAAGATTCTTGCCCTAATGTGTCTTAGGCAAGAAAAAGGAGTGCTGTTTATTGCACCAATTGATTCATTAGGTGTTTTTTGCATTTTAGGCTGATTATGGGCCAACACAAATTATTCATAATTTAAATGTCACATTTTAAGATTTATGCATATGAAGCAGTGTTAAATGAATATTTAATACGCCTGATCCATGCAGTATATACGATTTCTAATTTTACTGTTTGTGAGGACCAAATATTGGCAAAATATGAGGCGCATGCTATGCAATTCTATTTTGTGTGACAGAATGAAATATCTGAATACTGTAACAAAGTTCGTAGTCACGGGAAAAAGGAGGCGGGAACCGGCGAATATTTAAAGACTTTAATAAAATAAACAAACACAAAATGAAAGTAAAGCGGCAGCCCCTCGCGGACGATTGCCACACACAAAACACAAAATAAAATCCAGGCCTGGCCCTCTCTCGTCTTTCACTGTCGTAGCTCCTCCTTTTATCCTTCCGGAGCTCCTCCGTGGGACTCGAGACCGGTGAGTGGTGCAGGTGTCGCTTATTATCAATTTCTCCACCGGACTCGCTCCATTCCCACGGCTCTCGGCCCCGCCCCCACTCGTCACATACCCCCATCGCCCCTCGCAGGCTGGGGGGTACTCCCGAGACTGCGCTCTACTCCCCCCCTCACCCCTCCGGGGGAGCCGATAACGGCGGGCGCGGCGTACCTGGGGATAAGGACAGACGCTCATTATCAATTACTCCACCGCCCCCACTCGTCATAACTGTATCTGTAAATACTGTTAAAATGATTTGTAACTTCCTCATTTCAGACCCTAGAAATGTAACACTATGTAAATACTATCAGTATGTACATACAACATTGCATTCACACTTTTTGTATTTACAGTTTGGAGAGTACTGTACTCTTCAAACAGGATTTCTGCCCCTATGATTTTTGACCTCGTCTGGCCTGATCTACTAATCTCTTACTATAACTAAGTGTAACATTCATGCTAAACATGCAGAGATCTTAGTTTTGTGTGAAGATGGGTGGATGTGTTTTTTTTTCTTTGTCAGTCAGCCCACTTAACAAACGTACACACAAAATTGTTTTTCCTATTATAGTGTTGACTCCCCTCCTGATTTTTTCCTACCCATGCCGTCCATCAATGTAATTGACATCTGTGACATTTCCATTATCTAAAGTGAATTTTCCCTTCCTTTACCCTTTCCTCTCCCCCAAACCTCCCTCCTCTCTGTCTCTCATTTTTTTTCAGGGCATGAAACCAGACAGTTTTTACAAAGTGAAAGTCCCTGAACTGAAAGAGATCATTGAGGGATGCATTCGGATGAACAAAGACGAAAGGTAACTATAATGTCTACAAGGTCGTTCAACAAACAGGAACATCTGTAACCAAAGAACTGCAAAGGCGTGTATGTGCACCAGCAGTCATCGTAATGTTTTAACACCTGCCAGACGGGTTTTTACTGTGTGCACATTAAAACAACAATACCCAGATTCTTGTCCTTTTGTCCTTTTGACGTTTAAACAACTCCTCAGAGAGCCCTGCACGCCACTATTTTTGTTACCCAGCTGCACTGGTTGATATTTCTGTTCCGCCCTGCATTGATCAGGTGACACATGGTTACAGAATCAACAGTGTCAAAGAAGCCGACATAAACACTTCAGATTTTCTAGTGGTACTAGGCAGTGTTAATTTTGACAGCAAATTTTGATTTAGTTTTAGTCGTAGTCTGCTAAAATCTAATGGGTTTAGTTACAGTGTAATGCGTTTATTAAGCATTTCTCCAAAATTTCTCCATTATATAGGTTTGATATTAAGGTTTTATCATGATTTAACTGTGGTGACACACAACATGCCTTTATGTTAAAATTAAACAAAACCACATCTCATAAACATGGTCTTCTTTTTAATGAAATGCCAATGGTTATATAGGCTAATTATGCATTCTTTATAGCAACTTGTTTACCATTTTCTTGATTCTTTCAAGCAGACATATTTATTTCTGTAAATAAATTTAGATTAATCTTTAGGGCTACTAAAGTTTTTCAGTCAAGAGCAGTGAGTGATTTTCTGTCCTTTTTTCGTTGGTTGATTAACATCAATGAATCGGACAATAGCAACTAAATTAGGCTGCTGTCCCTTTAAAACTGAATGCACAGCTGCAATGGATGCAATGTATTGATAAATGTTCTCCCTGCTGTTTACGTTCACTTAAGATGTAATCAACTGTGTTTACGTGAATACTCATCAAAATGGATAATTCGACATCATTTTGTATGTAATTCTCCATTCATGCGACGTGAAAGAGTAGGCCTACTCGCGCGCTGTGAGACGCGTTTCTGTGTGTGTATGCTTCAGTGTCTGCACTCAGAAAACCGGACCGAAATGAGTTCTCTCTTGCATCGTCAGATTTATCCATATGTCTGCTCTTCTCTTACTCCCACATATTGACATTTTTGAACGTTTTATGCGACGTGCAGCAAGTGTATTTTAGCTTATGTACTGCCGGTTCATATCTAACCTCCTAACCACGCAGCAGATTCGTTTTGAAATTGAATGAATCTCTTCCCAAATCGTCCCTCCCTAACGTTTTCGTCTCGTTTTTATTCGTTGACGAAAATGTCTGTATATTTTCATCATAGTTTTTGTCATTCAAAAAGAGTTTTAGTTCGTTATCGTCTTGTTGTCGTCAGTGAAAAAAATGTAGTTGACGAACAATATGACGAAAATTATTCGTCAACGAAATTAACACTGGTACTAGGGCATAAACTTTCTCCTCTGTGTTGTTTGTCATGAGCTCTGTGGTGTCAGAGGGCTTTGGGTCACTAGTTAAAATGAGAGAGAGTTATGGTTAGGGTTACTAACACATTCCTGCCAGTCTTATTGTCTCCCGGCTAATCTCACAAACCACAAACACGATATATATATTAGGGATGCACCGATACCACTTTTTTCAGAACGAGTCCGATACGATACTTTCATTTTTGGTACTCGGCGATACCGATACCGATACCTGTATTTTCACAGCATTTGTAAAAAAAAATTAAATATTGGGTACAGAAACAAAATAATAGTAATAATAATAATAATATGAATCATGTTAGTTGGCTTCATTTAGCAAACAGATATTACCTTCAGTTATTTCCACACTTAATTATACCGGTTAAAATGTATTGTATAAGCTTTTGTTACTTTCACTGTGTATTGTTGCTCCATTGCAGCAGCTCAATATACTGTAATCACAAAACGTTTTCCTAAAATAATGCAGGGAACCACTCGTTATACATTATACGAGTGCACGCGTACTATTTTGGTGATGTAATTTGCGTCATGCGCAGTGTACACGGACCCTCGCGTACGAGTAAAAACTGAAGTATACTTTAGCCTTAAAGCAAACTAAACATACGCAGCGCGCACACGTTTGTATTGTTGCAGAATGAGAGAGACACTTACAGCCTAGGGCATTTCACCCAGTCTGCTAGTTTCACTTCTGCTCTGAACACTTATCCAAATGTTATATTTTTCACAAGAAAGCCTTGCATACAAGATGCAAGTGTGGAACATGTTGTAATTGTAACTGGCATACAATCTCAAGAGTGCACCAGATAAATCAATCAATTCAGTATATATATATATTAGTGGTGTCAAAATTAGCGCGTTAACGCAGGCGATTCATTATTTCAGTTTAACGCATTAAAAATATTTAACGCAATTAACGCAGGGCTAGGGTTGGCCACCCCACTCACAACTGCTGCTTCTGTCACTTTTTCTCTTGACAAGAAGTGCATTAGAACGGGAGACGTTTCACTTCACTCCACTTCACTTCAACGCCAGGCGTGAGATAATTGCATGCGCAAAGGCGCCGGTGCGCAATATAGCCTGTATCCTTTCATATCAAAGTGCGAAATAAACTACGTGCATGCAATGTCGTGGTCAGTTAAGTCATAAAGTTGCCAAAAAGGCGATTAAAGCTGCCTTAAAACCGTGCATGCATGTAATATATTTTATATGAGTCACATTTAAGATGTCTCTGAAATTGTTTTCAAAACTGTCCCGGAGCAGCCTAGCACTGTCTCCATCACTGTGTTCATCTAACACACCCAACTTTAGCTCAGTAAATAGAGACTTTAAGACCTGAAGTGGGTCAGAAAAGGTAAAAAGAGTTGAGAGAAAATATGATGCGTGTCAGATCCACGTCACGTTCAGCAGCGGCAGCTCTTAAAGAAATAGCAGCCAAAATAATCTAATAACCAGTTGCTGTGATGTCTAATAATCAAAGGACAAAGAAAAAAAAGAGGAAAAAATAAATGTTATAGCTGTAAGGATTCATCTATATTTAATTTAGAATTTAGTGTTTGATAACTTCAATTTCAATTTCTGTATATTTCTACTGAAGGGTACAGGTAAATATGACATTTATTATATGGGTTTATGTGCAGATTGTTTTAAGTTCACTTAAATTAGAAGTTATTTTTTAAAGTCTAATAAATGTTAAAATTGATAGCTCTCAATTATACTGTAATGTTGAATGGCTATAGTCAATGGTTAAATATTGGGGGAGGGGGCAATTTTATAGAGAAATCAGTATTCGTATCATTGATACTGGCCTTCAGTCATAAAAAAAAGATGCCATTAAACAACTATTAAAAATATATATACTGTCTTTATGTTGTTTGTAGATTAATTTGAAGATTGAATGTGAAATTATTGTTATATTAAAGTATATTTAAAAACTTTAATGTTAGGTGGGATTAATCGCGTTTAATTTCAGAAAAATGTGCGATTAATTAGTAAAAAAATGTTTATCGATTTACAGCACTAATATATATATATATATATATATATATA